AATATATATATATATATATATATATATATATATATATATATATATATATATATATATATATATATATATATATATATATATATATATATATATATATATATATATATATATACCATTACAAGTTCATATGATCATGTACAGGTTTGATTGTATGATTGGATATGATGCACTCAACTGTATGCAAGAGGGGACGTATTTGCACGGTGTACAGATAAGCCCTATTTCATTAGCCCGACGATTATTCCCGAAATACCGTTAGCATACCTCCTCATCCTTCAGTCCCAGCAATAGTACTTCTTCCATCAGCGAAAGACGTGCATCTTTAGAGTACTTGTCGTGCAAGTTATCGTTCTCTTCGAATGCATCTCTTTCGGGTTCAGGTTTATTGTTCACTTGGTTGACCGCTGAGGTCTGTCGCTTCCGCTGTGTTAATCCTGCGGATCTGTTATTTGACATGTTTGCACACTATGTAGATAGTAGTCTCAGTCGTAACTATATACAAAGGCAATCGGTGTACTATGTATGAGTCTCCTCGGTAGGCTGTACGTTCAAGCAAGAAGGCACCTGACAACAACAAGTATGGACCCAGCCGAAGTCAATGTGTTGGATTGCTCACATGCACTCTCGCTATCTAAAATTCGGAGGATACAATCCCAATGTTTTCAAATTCACTCAGCCTATAATAAAATAAAAATAAAAATAAAAATATTCTTCACCGTTGTTCCCACAAGCTGCTGTTCGGAAATATTTTTAACCGGAAGAAATTCAAAAATATTGGGGTTGGCTTTTTTTTTCATGACCCTCTAAATGACCCTTTGAGCGAGGAATAGTTTGCGACGTCAATGGATTCCTATTGTATATTATATAGGCCATAATCTTCCAATGGTATTAGGGGAAGTATCCTCAGAATAATTTGAAATATCAAGAGGATAAATAAAAACACACAAAATAATTTCCGCCGCCATTGTTGTCACTCGAGTGTCAGTAGTGAAGTGATGTGATTTGTTCGTTTTCACTTTCAGTGTTTCGCGGTGAATGTTTTTGTTTTGGAAAAATTGTTTATCAAATACATGCGTCGATGCGCGTAACGTAGTTACGGCGGCGCAGGGGCAGGATGCACACGATGTTGGCTAAATATCTGATATCACCGTGTCAATTCTTAGATAGATTCAGTTTCAAATAGATCTCCAATCAGTCTTAAAATACTTTTAACTTAAATATGTAGATTGTAGAACACTTACGAGTTGGTATTTTTATGAAAAAGCTTGGGGTATCTACATAAATCAGGACTGGGAAGTGAGGCGGCGAGGCCTCAAGCTTGTGCGGGAATAAAACGAACGGGCAAATTTGACCTTCGTGTCAATACTTGTGTGACATATTTTCAAAGCAAACGTATGCGCTACAACGAATTGCATCACGGATTGTTTAATTGTTTCAATGTTTGCCATTTCCAAGTAAGAGTTAGGGGTAAGCTGAACCGCTAAGTGGACATCAAGTGTCGGCTTTTAGCGTAGAAGAAGCGATTTGAAAACTATATATCGAGTAATGCTTGTAGGTAAGGCAAATTGGTGTAAAAAATGTCACGATAGTATGATACACGATGAAGCAGAGAAAGCGCCTTACTAAAAGAATAGTATGAGGAACATCAAAGCAGAGATAACAAAGATATACACTATTGTGGCTGGATGGGCTATTCGAAATCAGTGTCTTTAGATTCACTCTGACTTTGTGAAGAACAGATAAGGTAGCTTGCATGATAAATCGGTGTGAAGTCTTAACGAATGCAGTCTTAACGTTAACAAATTTAGAACTACTCGTGGTTTAGTGATAAGGACACTGTTGAAGTCAAGCAGTACGTGAACAAGGGACATCCGATGTGAATTGGCTACGAAACAGGTAACTGTTGCTACAGATTCATATTGTTGTATATGCCAATGATCCTGCTGTGGTGCGTATATTTTATATATCACTGAATATTTTAATATCGTAATCTATTTGCAAAGCCGCTCATGACTCACAAGTCATAGCCCACTTTTACGCCATTTTGTAAATGTGCACTACAGTTTACACTACTATGATACTACAGTTTACACACAAAAATACGTATTTAGCTAGTAGAGAAGAAATAAAATAATATGCCTGAATCCTGATCGAGTGATCGGACTATTTATTCATTACTGGTCATTGTCCTTTGGACTTTTCTCTCTCTTGTCTGTTCGGTGTTCTGAACTCTGAAGTGTTCTCCTCATATTTTTATTTATACTTTTCAATCTATAAACATTTGTAAGAGTAGACGGTTACGCTCAGCCTGCTCAGGGCCTCACGGCCGCCAAAACGTTGGATTTTTAACGGTAACTTTTTGATAAATAAGAGTTATAGCTTTTATTTGGGACAAATCAATTAACAATTTTTTCAAATGTGCACTCGATACGTTGTCCTATTGTTTTTAAATTTGGGCGACAAAATGCGTAATAGCCAATCAGAATCTACGACTAATTGACTTGACCTTTTGACAAAACCCACATTGAAAGTGTATCACTTTATTAACCCTCGTCTCCTCGAAGTATCTGGTCCGTATAGGGTCCGAGCTACGAGTCATATTGGTTGTCATTGATGTGCACAGCAAACAACTTTGAAGTATCTTTTAGACATTTCTCCAGTATATACTATTCACGTACGCTTTGCACATTTTGGCAGCTCTGAGAGGCGTTGAGCCGCTCGGAGAAGCTTCTGAACGCGCACTTAACAGAATATTTGGTATTGCAAGTCGTATGTTTTTAAAACTAAAGAAAACAGGACAAATATCTGACACCATCTTGACCTGGAAAAAGCACCTATAATATATCATACTGTACCTATCAGTTATAAACGTTGTATTTTTATTGTTAACCTTTTGATAAATAAAAGTTATAACGTGCGGCGGGCGGCGGGTTCAGGCCCAGGGCTCAGGCCCCAAATATTCTACTTATTTAGGCTAATATTTAGGCTGATTAGCCTCCTACAAAGAGAGGGCCTTCTATTATCAAACAGGCTATCATTCTATATGATAAATATGACTCACAGTCCCACAGATATAGATTTTCGATGTGACACTATAGTGTTATGACACTATTGACGCCGTTGACAGAGGGCAAATGGGTGCAGCAATCGCCATCTCATTGGCTACGTCCATCAAAAATGGGATCCGTGCGCGTGAAACTGAGCTTTTTTCGCTGTTTGGGCTGAAAATACACGGATAAGTATTTACACCGATTTGAAGAAAGGACGAACAATATACACTTAAATATATGACTATATGTGCACCAATTGAATATATGATTATATATATATATATATATATATATATATATGTGGATATAAATATATGTATTTTTAATATATAGATTTTAACATATACGCGGCAAAATCGGGACAAGTACTAGCAGGTGTATGTGGTATACAGCACGGTTAGTCTATTACATACAGCGAAAACACGTTTTTGCGGAACCTCCATGGCTATCATGGGCGACCACAGTGTATTACCCAGTCGAAACCCACGGGTCGCCAACTTCTATGATGTCGAAGACAACAGCTCAAGGCTGCAGCACCTGAGCCATCTAAACATATACACCACACCCAAGGTATGTTTGCTAGACACAGAGTCAATGTACATACCACACCTAAAGTCAGTGTACAAGACGCAGTGGATGTATAAAGCGCAACCAGAATACGCCTACTCGATACCTTGAGCATAGTACGCATTGGTTGGTTCACGATTGCAGCATCAGTACCACCTGAACGTACTGACCATAACTAAGGATTTAAACTTACGCCTGGTTTATGCGGTGGCCTGAGAATATGAAAGCCAACATATATTACTAATATCGCATTCTAGATTGCTCTCCACTGGTTGTATTTAACCCGATGTACGTTTCCGCTGCATATATAGACATATACATGGAACGACATACACTGTGTACACACACACACACACACACACACACACACACACACACACACACAC